TAAATCACCATAAATGACGCAATCTACCACCCACAGGTTCAGTCCACCACAAAAAAAAAAAAAAGCATTAGGCTTCCCTTTTGAAAGTTTTATTTGATGGTCACATGACCACAAAACCTCATGAAAGTCCATCTTACTTATAGCGGGGGGGTGTGTCTGTTTTTATATGGGTGACCTGTGTGTTGCATCACACACAGTGGAGAACTATTTCTGGCCCTGTGTGTTGCAGGATCGTTGCCGCCCTGTCTGAGGCCTTGACTGTGGGGGACTGCGAAAGGCGTGTGCCATAATTGATGAGGCCAACTGCTGGCAAAAGCCGTTGCCAGCAAGGAATGGGTCAGGTGTCAGTTTGTGGCCGCCACCCCCGTCAATTAACATATTTGATAAGGGCAAAAATCAGCAATAATGTGGCAGAAGTATTCATTTTACGATCACGCCCCACTCTCAATCAATACATCATTGCCATGTGTGATAAGGGCAACTGCTGGCAAATTCCAATATCAGCAATAAATTTGGCGGATTGAAACCATCCATTTTGCGGCCACGTCTCTACTGGCAATCAATACAGCGGTGCTGGGGATGACCATGAGAGAGATACAAGCAGACTGTGCATCAGTGAGGTGTCCTTTAACTCCTAGTACAGATACCAGGGATGCAAACTGACCTCCCCAGCGTGGATCTGCTTCCATGCCATGGCCACTTGCAACCAAGAACTGGCAGCATCACCAGCACACAAAATAAAAACCTTCCAGGCTGCATTTACTAAGCAGTATATGAATAACCAAACATGTATATTCATTTGTATTTTCATGCACTGTGTATTACCATCAACTCACGGTTGATTTGCACGCAATGATGGACTGGATCACGTCCTGTGACCAGTATACAGAGAGTGTTGATAGCATTTGATAGTTATCAATTTACAGCATGTGATAATTTAGAAATGACACCACACTTGTATTTTTCTGCTACGTATTTCCTGATAAGAAACCAGGGCTGGAAAAGCATAAGAGACGCCACCGATGCTGATCTCTCCTTTTAAAGATGCCGACTTTTATACAAAACCAAAAGCCTTCATTGCCGAGTCACTAAACCTGGAATGAGCACCCAGATCTGGAGTTCTGCCTTTGCTGGGTGCATGCTCAGCGGTTCACATTACAGAGACAGCCAAGCAACTAGCATTTTTTTTATTTTTTAAAAGCAGGTCAACCAGTCATGTGACCTATTAAGAAGCAGGTCAGCAACAGCAGCCCACATAATTCAATCAGCACAGCTTTTCTTTATATAAATCTTAGATTTTTGGGGGAAGTTCATCAATTGTTTGGTTCTTGGATCACCTCTGGCCAGTGTATGTGTCACCCTTCTGCAGCACATGTCATTATTTATAGAATGCTTCTACAGGAGGTTATTCATGTAAAGAGTTACTAAGCAGGATTTATTATATATGATAAATAAATTGAGGTGTATTTCAATGGGTGATGAATGTGATGAATGCAGTCCAGAGAGGCAGGCTGCTCTATTACATAACTCATTACATGGGGGAGGGGGAAAGCAGCAAGCCCCTGGCACACTGTCCGCAGTCAGCTGAACGTTCCGAGCTGGAAAACACCGCGTCACGTGACGCCCTCCGCGCACCACGCTTTTGTGCTCGGAGAACGCATGGCCAGGCACGGACTACACTTCCCGGCGTCCCCCGCGCCGCCGAACTACACTTCCCGGCAGCTCCGCGCGCGCCGACACTCCTACTCCAGGCGGGCTGCAGAGTCAAGGCCAGGCCTGTCTGCGATGTTCGCTCACCACAGGCTGCAAGGTCACGAGTGGGAAAGCCCAGTGATGTCACCAGGCACACTGCCCCAAATCCTGGCACAGGCGCCCTTGCAGAATAGAGCTGGCGCAGTTGGCCATTTACTTACTCCCTTAGTTACTATGCAGCGCAGGTACATTATCCAGCAAAGTCCTCAGGCTACATACGAGAGGCTGTGTGGCACACCTGAGCGAGAGAGGAGCTGGTAGCTGCAACCGCGGCCCAAATTCAGAAATTGTCAGAGACAGGCCTGCCAGGCACTAATGTGGGCAACCCATGTGGATTTAGGGTAAGAGACATGGAAGGACACCAGTGACAGCCCACTCACATGCAGCATATTTTTTTTGTATGGGCAGTCATGTATATACAAGATTAGAAAACAAACCTGAAATTTATACATAACAACAAAGGCAAACAGATTCTTTGGATGGAAATATTTGTAGCACCAACCCTACTTTTTTTCAGCCAACAATATTCATAGTTTAAAATGTATGTCCTATCAAAAAAAGTGTCAATGTTACAAAAACCTGAAGTACAAAGTATTCTGTCATTACAGGGTTTCAGTATGTCACTAGAAGGAAAGACCTAAAATGTGCCTGAGCCGCTGCCAATCTTAGAATCGTCCACATCGGACACTTCCGAGGGGGACCAGACACCCCACATTGCCTGAAAGTATTTTCTTTACAGGCAGCCTTCATTTTTTAGGTTTTTATTCTACTCACCGAGTCTCTTTTGAGCAGAACTCCAGTCAACACTGACACGGTAAAAAGGAATAGTTTGATGAAAGATAAAATACAACCACTTTTTGCTACAATATTCACCTTTAATCCAGAGATTTACCCTGCAGTAATTTTTTTTGTCACTAGATATCCTCAGCATCATTTAAAGAAGAACTCCGGGCACCAGTTTTCTGAACCCTTGCAGTGGACTACCCCATCACGTCAATGGATAATTGCTTGTTTTCATGAAGCGACGAAGATAAACATTTCCTCACCTGAATCTGAGCTGGCTGGCTGCTACTCCAGTCCCTGCAGCCTGTCTCCTCCGCTCCAGCAACTGAATGTCCCTCTGCATCCTCACGCCCTATACGCTGTAAAGGATCAGATGACTCACAGGCCGCTGGAGCGGAGGAGATAGGCTGTGGGGACTGGTCTAAAAGCCAACTGGCTCCCAGGTTCAGGTGAGTATTTCTCTTTTATTTTCCTCCCTACGGCCTCAATTACAAGCCAAAAGGCCGCCACGTACAGCTCTGTGCTGCGTGCACGGCTGTATCGGCAGCTCCTGGGAAGGACAGATGCTGCGTGTGATTAGTACGCAGCCCCCGTCCTCTATGGGTGTACGCCGCCCTATGCTCACCCCAAGTGCAGGTCCGCGCGGGTGTCCCGGCTCGGACGCAGACAGGATCCATCCTGTCAGCGTACGAGTACGGACGTGCAGGGCGGGTGAGAGTACGGCCACGTATTCCCATAGAGAAGGACAGGGACTGCGTACTAATCACACGCAGCATCTGTCCTTCCCGGAAGCTGCCGATACAGCCGTGCACGCAGCACAGAGCTGTACGTGGCGGCCTTTTCTCGTGTGAATGAGGCCTAAATGAAAAAGAGCAATTAACCCTCGCAGTGCATAAGGTAGCCCCACTGCAAGGGTTAAGAGAATATATAATACACTTTCTCTGAGCCCAGGTCATCCGGCACCTGCTGCAGCCTGTGACTGGACAGTGAAAGGAGAAGCAGCACAACCATGAGCTCATCTCTCAGCTGCCTCCTATTCTAATCAGCACATTGGCTCCTTGTGCTGCTTCGCAGGGACTGCCAGAGGCCGATTCCAGGTACTTACAATGCTTGCATGTACATACATTTGATTACAGAGTTGCGTTCATTTGCGTCTTCTAAACCTACCTGGAGTTCAGCTTTGTGTGATGTACTAAAATACTTAATCTTAGTTATGCCCGACTCGCACAGTACAGCACCATTTCAGGAATGACCCAAAGTTTTGTACCCGGGGAAAAAAAACAACTTTTTTTTTGCACGGTATAATATATATTTTGGGGAGCTTTTTAGTTATTATAGTCCTGTTCTTATAAAAAAAAAAAGTTACAAAGCAAATCAGAAGTCATATTGGGAAAGGTGAGATACCACAGATAATGATCAGATAGTAGGGATCGTGTCTAATTATCAGATAAAAGGGATCGTGTCCAGCTCACCAAAATTTGCAAAAACATCGTCAACGATGTAAAAATCTTCCCATTCACCAACACACAGGTATATAACAATTGGGCAATCGAAAGGGCCACGGCAGCGCGTGTGGATCGATATTGACCTTCAGTATAGAAACACCAAAATCCAACCCCCCCCCCACATGGGAGGCGCATCAGAATATTCATCTTCAACAGCCTGGTAGACTTAGGACCCCATCTAAGAGCAGCAGGGGCCCCAGCATCCAGGTACGCATTGCTTAGTGACCTTGCGAGACTACAAAAGCCTCCACGTCCCCCCTCCCACCCCATTAATCGAGCCACATGGTGGTATTAGTATACAGTCCACACTATTGTAAAAAGCACAGCATGCAGCAAAACAACATGACCTTGGAGCGAGCGCGTTTATTACTATAGCAAAAGTGAAACTGGCGGCGGGGAGAAAAAGAAAGCTGCTTGTTGCTACGGGCAACAGCTCCATGCACAGAGTTGGCCTGCGTCGCAGAGACGCAACAGTAACCGCCTGCGACCCAGTAGCCGCCGACTCAAGCGTTGCTGGGGGTGGGGGGATTGTCGGCTGTGGAGCCTTTTGGCAACTGTTCTTTTTTTATTCTCCCTGCGAAAAGGATCGGACGAAGGAAAACCATGGCTGTTCAAATTTTGTCGATCAGCCCCCCCGCAGGGGCAAGTCTCAGTAGGGGGTGTAGCATGCTGGGGCTTGTAGTTCCCCAGCAGTGTTGACCCACGTGACCAGCATTGATAGTTTGCAATCACAAGCTCCCCCAGGTGTTGCTAGTCTAGCCTCAATCAGCAATGGTGTGAAATCAGCTGATTGCGCAGGAAGGGGGTGGGGGGGTGACATCACTGGGGCAAAAAATCTCGCCTCCCCCCCTCCCTTCTCTCTACCTTTGCCATGTCTGCAAGGTGATCTAAGGAGATCCGCAGCAGACCCGGACTCCATGTGCGCCGGGCATAGGAGAAGCAGAGGTCTCGGCCACCTACCTGCACAGCCCCCCGATGACTTCTTTCTCCGTTGAAAGCTGCAATAGATCTGGAGGCTGCTTGCTTGGATGGGGGTCCCCAGGTTATTTTGGGGGCACAGAGCAGTTGCATAGGGGTATCCGATGTAGGAGTGGGGGGGAGGGAGAGAACAGAAGCTGAATGGGGAGGCTGGGAGGTGATCTGGCTGCATGCGCCACGCTTGGGTGATCAGTCCCATCAGCTGACAGCTTGGCAGAGAGGAGAGCAGGGGAAGGAAGAAGAAAGGAGAAAAGAGCCGAGCACATGTTCACTGCCTGCATCATCTCTAACCCCTGAGCTGCCAGGGAGGCCTGCTGCAGGGCAAGGCAACCACAAAGCACATTGAATCCATGAGGCGGCTTTGGGTTGCGTGCAGTGCAATAGTTTCAGGAGGCCGATTTGGCATTTGCTGCGAAAGGCCAGCCCCCCCACCCCCCGTCTATTTTCGAATAAAGACCCTCTTTTCCTCAGTTGTTGGTCTTTTTAAGACCTCTTATCAATTTCGCAAAATAAAAAGATGCTAAATTACAGAAACTAATTTTGCGCAAAACTTTTCTTGGAACTTCTAACTCGGACTTTGTCAGCTGGGCTTCTATGGGATCCAGGGGGTTTTCAAGAGGTTGTTGGGGGTTCTTTAGACTGGGCGGTAATTCTGCTTCTCGGATAAGTGACCCGTGACACCAGTCATCTTTTTAGATATCTGCAAGGGCTGACCACCAATGTAATGAGCATTCTTCCTATTGACCAACAATGTAAGGGAGCAGTTCAACCTCTGGCCACCAATATAAAGGTGCCCTTCACCCACTGACCGCCAATGTAAAGGAGCCCTTTACCCACGTACCACCAATGTAAAGGAGCCCTTTACCCACGTACCACCAATGTAAGGGAGCCCTTCACCCACAGACAACCAATGTAAGGGAGCCGTTCACCCACTGACCACCACTGTAAGGGAACCCTTCATCCTCTGACCACCAACGTAAGGAGCATTACCACCAGTGAAAGCAATGCCTTCACCCACTGACCACTAATGTGCGAAAGTGCTTCACCCACTGAGCACCAATGTAAGGGAGCCCTTCACCTACTTACTACCAATGTAAAGGGGTATTTTATCACTGACCAACATTGTAAGTGAGCATATTTGTCAAGTATGCCACATTCCCATTCTTTTTATTCTTGAATCTACAATTTACTATTCATGCCAATGTACTTTGCAATGTTGATATACCGTATATACTCGAGTATAAGCCGTCCCGAATATAAGCCGAGGTACCTAATTTTACCAAAAAAAACTGGGAAAAGGTATTGACCCGAATATAAGCCGAGGGTGGGAAATGAGGCAGCTACTGGTAGATAGATACCAATAAAATTACATTAATATTTATTTAAAAGAAAAATAACCTAGCTCTGTAAGTGGAAAAGGGGGTACAGGGCTACATATCATGTACTACGGATCATTTAACCCATTCATATTAGCAGAGGATAATTGTAAATCTATTGTTCAGTGCATTCTATATGTAGTATATAGTACATGTACATATAGAGTGCCTGCAACAATACATTTACAATGATCCTCTGCTAACATGAATGGGTTAAATGATCCCTAGTACAGGGCTACATACAGATCATTTAATACATTCATGTTAGTATAATTGTAAATGTATTGTCTGCACTGTATTAGCAGTATATACTCTA